ATGGCAGGGTACTATCGAAGGTTTGTGCCTCGCTTTAGCTCCATAGCCGCCCCCATCACTGAGCTGTGCAAGAAGGGGAAGCCAGACAAGGTGGTCTGGACCGAGGAGTGCCAGGAGGCTCTCCGGGCGCTGAAGGAGGCTCTGGTCAGTGGCCCAGTTCTGGCAAACCCAGACTTTGACAAGCCCTTTATGGTGTTCACCGATGCCTCAGACACGGGACTGGGGGCGGTGTTAATGCAGGAGGATGAAAAGGGGAGAGACACCCCATCGTGTACCTGAGTAAGAAGTTGCTACCCCGGGAGCAGAACTACGCGGCCATCGAGAAGGAATGCCTGGCCATGGTGTGGGCCCTCAAGAAACTAGAGCCATATCTCTTTGGGCGACACTTCACCGTGCACACCAACCACTCTCCCCTGACCTGGCTGCACCAGATGAAAGGAGCCAATGCCAAGCTTCTGAGATGGAGCCTGCTCCTTCAGGATTAGGACATGGACGTGGTCCATGGGAAGGGAAGTGACAACCTGATAGCGGACGCGTTGTCCCGGAGAGGGGGCCCTGAACTTCCCCCGGTCACTGGTCAGAGTGACCCCGCTCAGTTCAGTCTCCAAGGGGGGAGAGATGTGACACACTAGGGAGCGGGACGGATTGACCTGGGAATGTCGTCTAGTTTTACTGGGACTGTCTGCATTGGGGATGGGAGAGCAGGGGATGACTTTAATTGAGGGATGGGAACCTGAGCCTGTAACCTGAGCCAGGAAGGGGGTGGGGCCAGGTGACACCTTTGTCTGGGAAACTGGACAAAGGGAGAGGGGGAGGGAAGGAGGGGAGAGAGCCTGCGGGAGGGGGTTTTGGTTTCAGATTTGGGCTGGCTCAGAAGACGCAGGGAACCCCAAGTCTAAGATCCTTGCTCCCCCCAGAGGGACCTGGCTGACGGGTCCTGGTTGTACCTACAAGCTCTGGTTTAGACTGTGTCCCTGTCGTCTAATAAACCTTCTGTGTTACTGGCTGGCTGAGAGTCACGGTGAATCTCAGGAAGAGGGGTGCAGGGCCCTGACTCCCCCACACTCCGTGACAAGGGTACAGCACGTGGCTATAACCCTGGGGATTCTGTCATCGGCCAGGTCCAGCTTCCCATACAGACAGCACCAGCAGCCCTTTAAACAGCCAAAAGCACACTCCACAGTCATTCTGCACCGACTCAGCCTGTTGTTGAACCGCTCCTTGCTGCTGTCCAGGCTCCCTGTGTAGGGTTTCATGAGCCACGGCATTAAAGGGTAAGCGGGGTTTCCAAGGATCACAATGGGCATTTCGACTTCCCCTACTGTGATCTTCTGGTCTGGGAAAAAAGTCCCAGCCTGCAGCTTCCTGAACAGGCCTGTGATCCGAAAAATGCATGTGCCATGCACCTTTCCGGGCCAGCCTGCGTTAATGTCATTGAAACGCCCACGGTGATCCACAAGCACCTGGAGAACCATAGAGAAATACCCCTTCCGATTAACGTACTCGGAGGCTCATGGTCTGGTGCCAGAATTGGAATATGCGTCCCATCTATCACCCCTCCGCCGTTAGAGAAACCCATTTGTGCAAAGCCAGCCACTATGTCCTGCACGTTACCCAGAGTCACGGTTCTTCTGAGTAGGATGCGATTAATGGCCTTGCAAACTTGCATCAACACGATTCCAATGGTTGATTTTCCCACTCCAAACTGGTTAGCGACCGATCAGTAGCTGTCTGGAGTTGCCAGCTTCCAGATTGCAATAGCCACCCGCTTCTCCACTGGCAGGGCAGCTCTCAATCTTGTGTCCTTGCGCCGCAGGGTGGGGGCGAGCTCCTCACACAGTCCCATGAAAGTGGCTTTTCTCATCCGAAAGTTCTGCAGCCACTGCTCGTCATCCCAGACTTCCATGACGATGTGATCCCACCACTCAGTGCTTGTTTCCCGAGCCCAAAAGCGGCGTTCCACGGTGGTGAGCATGTCCGTGAATGCCACAAGCAATCTCGTGTCATAAGCATTATGCAAGTCGACATCACCGTCAGACTCTTCACTGTCAGTTTGTAGCTTAAGGAGTAACTCGACTGCAATTTGTGACGTGCTGGCGAGACCCATCAGCATATTCCTCACAAGTTCAGGATCCATTCCCGCAGACCGAAAGGCAAGACAGAGCGCGCAGTACAAAAAACGTTGAAAGATGGCGCCAAGTGTGGATGGAAGCACAGGGATTGCTGGGATGCGAAGCGATGCATCACAGAGCATTGGGACAGGACCAGGGCTGGCTCTGGCTTTTTGGCTGCCCCAAGCAAAAAAAACCAAAAAAACGGGGCGGCCAGAATGGCAAAGCAAAAAAAAAAGCGGCCGTGCCGCCCTAGGATTGGGCCGAATGCCGCCTCCAACAATCTGCCGCCCCAAGCACCAGTTTGCTCAACTGGTGCCTGGAGCCGGCCCTGGACAGGACCCAGAATGCCCTGTACCCTCCCGCCCCCCTCCCACAAGCCACAGCGCCAGAATGGGAAGAGGTGCTCTGTGGGATAGCTGCCCATAATGCTCCACTCCCAATGCCGCAAATGTGGCCACACCAGTGCGCTTGCAGCTGACAGTGTGAACACACGGCAGCGCTTTCCCTGCTGCGCTCTCCGAGGGCTGGTTTAACTCACAGCGCTCTACATCTGCAAGGGAGATCAGAGCGAATCTTTGGAAAGGCAGCAGCCACTCTCAATGTAAATGCTCCATGTGTCAGAGACCCCACCCTGTCCCGGGGGGGCTGTTCCCCTGGGGAATCACCCCCACTGTTAAAAAGTTGCACCATAAATGGCCCCACCCCCACAGTGTCCGAGGGACTGGCACAGCGACAGAGGCTGCAGCTCCGGCTCCGAGGGGCGGCTCTGGGAGTCTCAGTAGAACAGAGCCTCAGCTCCCCCTGCCCCCGAGCTCTGTCTCTCTGCCTAGGGCCCTGTACGGCACGTCCCCCAGCGCCTGAGCTGGGCCATTGCTCTGATCTGGGACAGCAATTCCTTCCTCCCTACAGTATCGAAGGGTCACGGAGCATCCGGCACCAGGCCAGGCCCCTGGGATCACAGTGACCCATGTCGGGGGTTCACACTTACCCAGGCAGGCAGCAGTCTGATTCCAGACACTCCGGTTCCCCTGTCCGGTACATCTGATCACGGGCTGTGAGGGTTCGAACCCCTCAGGGCAGCTCAGGGTCACTGACTCCTCCCAGCTATAATACGTCTTGTCCGGTTCGAACCGCAGAGCTGAGGCCCAGCTGGGTTTGCGGCACTTTTCTGTTGGGAGAACAATCAGGTTTGGGGCCATTAGAAAAGGGCGAGATTCCAGTCCCCACATTAGACTGTCAGTCCCTGCCCCAAGGAGCTGTCTGTCTGTCCACAATTTGTACAGCGCCTAGCACCAGGGGGTCTGGGGTCATCGCTGGGGTCCCTAAGGGCTACTGGTAATTGTGACGAAGTGGGACAGTTCTTAATGTTTCCTCTGAATACTATAGGGATGCCTCAGTTTCCCCTATGCATTTCTTAAGTCTCTAGGTGGTGGGATAAAGGCCAGTGCACATAAATGGCCAATACTCTGTCTCCTGGCAACTAATGGCCGGGACCCTTTCCCACTGGAAGGGGATGCTAAAGGTGTTGGAGAACAAAGAGATCAGGTGATCTCCTGGCCCTGGAAAGGAACAAAGCCCAGAGGAGGAGGGGCTGGAGGGTGAGTCCAGTTGGGAACTCGCTGGGGATGG